TAATAATAATAATAATAATAATAATAATAATAATAATAATAATAATATATACCCATGGTGCATGGTGGTCAGGCAGATATTCAAATAGACAGTTGCCCCGAAAGAAAGCTGCCTTTCAGCTCTTCCTCAGCCAAGTAAGAAGAAGCAGTTTTCTGCCAGGCAGTTTGTCAGTTTCCATGCAGCACCTGCTCTAGCAAATAGTTATCCCATTCAAGGCCAGAGTCATTACCAAATGACTTCAGTTAGCAAACTGTATAGAATCCTTGAAAACTGTGTAACAGTTCTTCAGTAATTATTAACATCTATATGCTAGCCTTTCTGCTAAAAGGCCATCAGTGTGGTGTTCATTATTTAAACAAATTATTTTAAAAGGTGAGCTTCCTGGAGGTAAATAATGCCCACTCATGGAAATAGAATGCTAGATTTAGTTTGAGCCTGTGGAACAATTCTTAAGAGTAAATGTTTTGCTTCTAGGTAGCGGGTGCTCACAACACTATATTACAATAGAAAACCATCCTATCTCTGACATGGGACTTTAGGGATATGAATAACTGCAGGCCCATTCTGACTGATTCATCAGTTTTGCTTGTAATAAGTGCAACTCTAATCCTTGGGATTAAATCTAATTTAAATAAATGGATGATATTTATGAGTAAGCTCAGCTGCTTAGGGAGAAAAATCTCATCTTTTGTGAGATCTATGTATGATCCTAAATGGGATTATTTTCCCCTTCTAAAGTTGGAAGTTTTTCATTTGAAAAGATGGATGTCTATACTCTGCATATGCAGCAAAGTGAGGTGACAGGATTGATTACAGCACTTCATGTTGCAGGTGGAGTTGTTCCTTTTAATGCTGAAGCATGTTTAAAAAGACACTTTTCACATGTAAACAGTATGAAAAACTAGCATACCAAAGATAAAAAACTAGCATACCAAAGAGGAAAATTATAGCCTGCCCTGTTTTTTGTTGTGCTATGTTTCTGCTCACAGGGTGTTCCTCCCACATTAAAACTCTGATTCCTGTCTTTATTCAGGAATTTATTCCTGAATTCTTTATTTATTCTTTATTCTAATAGAATATACAACTGCTAAGTAGTGCTGCATGAATAGATCCTGTGACGCCAGCGCCTGAAGAGTTAGAACTCCTCCTAGCTGACTTCTGAATATTCTTCAAATTGTTTGTGTTTTCTTTTAAAGCCGCACATTGTCTTGGTCCCACATAACCTGTTATTCTACAGGAATGCCTTCTCTCATACCAACCTGTCATTGTGTGGTGGTTTGTTTTGGAGAACCTTCCTCAGGGTGCCTCCACCAAATTTTGCAGAGCAGGTGTTAAAAGAGAGAGTGCACTTTCTATGTGGTAGCAATCCATCAATAGCACCCTCTTCCCTGGTGGGCTCATGTTATGTATTTTTGGTACTATAGAAACATAGCGAGTCAGAAGGGGCCATCTAGTCAGACCCTGGCTCAAGCAGGCTCTGCTAATGTGATATCCAATATGCAGTTGTTCAATCTTTCATAGCCCTCTATAAGATGCCTGTAAGCCTCTGTATTCAGAGGATTCTGGGCAACCCCAAAGGAATGCGTCCTAAATGTGTGCAACAGCCTTCCCCTTTCAGATGGGGGGAACCCAGCAGTGGGATGCAGTCCCATCCAATCCTAAACATCAGGAAATAGGACATCCAGCCTAAAACCCAGTTCCTTTAGCTTTGCCCCATTGGATCATGTCCTTCCCTCCATCACAGGGGAGAACAGATGATGAACCTCTACCTTGTGACGCCCCTTCACATACCTGTATGTTGCTATAAGATACCTTTGGAGTTTCCTCTTCTCCAAGTTGAAAAGAGCCAGTTCCCTCAGCCATCTCAGATGGCATCCCCCACAATCCTTGTGACTCTGTGCTTAATTGATTCCAACCTTGCTATGTTGCTCTTTTAATGTGGTGCCCAGAACTGGACACAGTACTCCAGTTGTGGGTGCACCAGAGTCTTACAGAGTGGTGCTAACACCTCTCTCAATCTGGAAGCCACGCCTCTGGCTATGCATCCAAGGGTGGCATTCGCCTTCTTAACTGCCACATCACACTGCTGGCTCATGTTTAACCTCCTATTGACAAGTAACCCAAGATCCCTTTCACAAGTACTGCTCTCCAGCCACATGTCCCCCATCCTGTACCCCTGGCACCAATTACTCAGTCCCACGTGCAAGACCTTGCACTTATCTGCACTGAACGCTATCCTGTTGTCCTCTGCTCACATCCACAGTCTGTCCTGATTCTTTTGGATCTGGAATACCTGCTCCTCCACTGTTACCCCTCCTCCATGTCATTAATAAAAAGGTTGAACAGAATCCAACCCCTGGGGGATTCTGCTTGTCACTGGCTGCCATCCTGATGACTCCCCACTGATAATTCCCCTCTGCTTGCAGTCCATCAACCAAGCCCTAATCCATTGCACAATGCATCAATCTATCCCAAAGCTCATCCATTTCTCAACCAGAATATCATGCTGGACCTTGTCAAAGACCCTACCAAAATCCAGGTAAACCACATCTACTGTGTCCCTCCAATCTAGCCACCTTGAAACCCTGTCATAGAAATCCACAAGGATTGTCTGCCAGGATAAATTTTTGCGGAAGCCATGTTGTGTGACTGCCAACCTTCCTTCCCTATCCAGGGTTTCTAGAATCATGAGCTTTTCCATTTTCTTTCCCAGAATGGATGCAAGGCTAACTGGCCTGTAATTCTCCCTGTCCCTTCTGCTACCCTTTTTGAAGATGGGGCCACTGTAGGCATCCTCCAGTCTTCCAGAACATCTCCCATTTTCCATGAAACCTCAAAAATGGAGGCCAGTGGACCTTTGCCAATTCTTGAAGTACCCTCATGTGTAACCTGTCAAGACCAGGGCTCTGGGGAGCTCCTCAGTTTCTAGGGAAGTGACTCCAATCTGTGTCCCCATAACCCCAACCTCATCTGGCCTCCCAGGCACATCTTCTCCAACCTGCTTAGGAGAGAATACAGAGGCAAAGCAATCATTTAATGCCTGTGCCTGTTCCCTTTCGTCACTTATCATGCCCCCCTCTGCAAGCCTACATGTTCAAATCTAATGAGATTAAAGAATTGATATTGTAATTTTCTAATTTTATAGCTTGAAAAGATTAGGTACTTTTATGGCTAGGTATATTATAAACCACTTGATAATTTCTGTTGCAGTATGTGCTTATTGAATGCATAGGTATCATGTATTTGTCACTGCCAAGTTCATCAGCTCATTCTGCTGTATACACAGTGAGGCCCAACTTTGGGTTTTTTACTTCCACATCCTCACTTTATGAAAGATTGTAATGGTGTTTTGGGGTATTTGCTTTGCTCAATACAGAAAGATACAGCAATTGCAAGCCTTCAGGAACAAGTGAACAATGCCAATGCGAAGCTGATGATACTTATGGCTATAGAAGGTAACTGCCAAGCTGTGGATTCTTCATCTCCTCCTCCTCCTCATGCAATGCAGGCTCACTGTACAGCCAACTGTTCATCCATAGCAGCTGAAAACTCATCAAGAAATCCCTGTGCAGCTGGCCCAGAGCTGAAGCCATGGCAATATTCTAAGTGCTCAACTTCACAATACAGAGAGGGGTGGTTTAGTAAAAAAGATTGCCTTGATCATTTAGAATGGACAAAGCAACAAAACATACCAGAGGAATGTACTTCTGAGTGCAGAATAGTAAATGAGTGCAAGATAGATAATGATTCAAGCGTTAAGCATAGCCAAAATCAATGGCTCTCTCAATATACTACTTCACTTCATATGGGTACCCAGCCTGATTCACTCAGACAGAGTTTCTCTGCACTGAATGGAGAAGCAAAGCAAACATGTACTTCACCCACAAACCAAAAGCAGCTTTCAGGAATCTGTTACGTGAACAGTGAAAAGTTTGAAGAACTCTTGCAAGAGTCAAGTATGAACTGCAGTTTCCTTGCCAAAACACCATCCAGGGGGCCTGAGCAAGATGCAGATCATGAAATACACATTGTGGGGCAGCCTCAGGAGATACTGGCAAACTTTATGAAGCTTAGCCCTTACAAGACAAGGCAGGAAAAGAGCATTCCCCTCCACTCCACTTCCATGGCCCCCAGTTCTTGGTGCAATGGCAACAAAACATCCAGCAGGACACAAGAATACTGCAGAGATTTAACAGAATTTTCTTGGACTGCAGCAAGTAAACCCAAGGATGGAAGTTGCTTGCCTTCTTTGTCATCCGTAGCACTGAAGAAAACACTTCACTGCGAGGCTGCAAACTGGTCCAGACTTTCACACAGTAGGGGACTCTTAGATGAAATGGAGGATTGTGTGTCCACATTTTATCCCAGTCACTCCAGCTGTCATCGGGAGCAGGGTTTTCTGACACACACAGACCTTGACCCCCTTCCCTCGGAGCACCTTGATACTGATTCTGAGAGCAGCTCCTCTTGTGGGATGCCCCACTGTCACCACAGGCAGTGGTGTGAACTTTGCCACAGCAGCCTGTCTTCCTCTACGGACAGCTGCACCACTGGTGCAGACCCACAGCCTGGCATGGCTGCAGAGCACTGCGTAGAATTCCGCAGCAAGTCTCAGCCAATTGTGAACTTCAGTGAGGATCTGGAGCCCACCTATGTGTAAAAGGAGGTAACATATCCATTGCCATTTTCCTGTAGTGGGAGCGGGTATGCTCAGGTGGGTGGCTTTTCCTCTTCGCTCCAAGTTTGCACGCGACATCCTCAGTGGGGAGAGTACTACTTCCTCTTCTAGTCCGGCCTAGCTCCTAGTGACAGGTAGGACAGTCATGTGTCCTCTTTTACACAGAACAGTCCTCTGTGTGAAGGTCTCTATTTTGAGGGCATTCTCTGTTGGAATTGCTGTCCCATCTAAGTCCACTATAAAGATAACAAATCATCGGGAAGGACAGCTGGGCTATGAAGTTGCTCAACCTGGTACTCGGCACACAGGCACCTGGTCAGTCTTCCACACTATAAAATCACCTGGTCAGTCTTCCACACTATAAAATCATAGGATAATAGAGTTGGAAGGGGCCAGGGGCCACTGGATGCAGCCCCTGCTTAGTGCAGGACTTCAAGTTTTGGTTATACCAATCAGTCATATTCACCCTCCTGCATTAGGAGTTCAAGTTCATGCTCTTTGTTTCCCATACTCTGGGTGTTAGTATACAGACACTGAAGACCACATACTTTAGCTTTTTTCCCTACAATTTTTGGAAGGTTATTATTGGCTTGCTTTCTCTGTTGTGGTACATAAGCCTTTGTTTGCTGTTACGTTCAACTTCTCCTTTCCCTGTAAGAATAAGCGTAAAGCCCCCCGATAAATTTCTTTATGCTGTGGCCAAACACATTCTTTCCAGTTCTTGCAAGGTGCAGCCCACTCCTTGCCTACAGTCCACCTTCCAGGAAGTGTAGCTCATGGTCCCAAAATCCAAATCTCTCACATTGGCACCACCTTTGTAGCTAGACATCCAGCTAAATATTTTTCTTTTCCTGACTATTCTTCCAAGAACTGGAAGGACTGAAGAAGGAACTATCTGGGCTCCAAAGTTTTTGGCTTTCCTCCCTAAAGCTTCCAAGTCTGACGTGATTTCTTCAAAGTTCTGCTTGGGAGTGTCATTTGTTCTCACATGTATAAGGAGGAAGGGATACATGTCATTGAGTTTTAAGAGCCTTGGTAATCTTTCAGACATATGACCAATCTATCTTTTATGTTCTGTCTAAAAACTCTTCATCTTTTATTATTTTGAGGGTGGACACTCACTGCTCCTGCACTCTCACCTTTTCTTCTAACAGGGCTTCCAAACTGCACTTGTTGCGTGTGTAGGCCATGTTGCCCTCAGGCAAGAAAACAGACATTGCAGGTCACCTCCACTGTAGAGCCTTCTCAGTCCATTCTTTCTGCTGCCTTTTAGATTCTACTTAGTTGGGCCTGTTGTAGCTACCAGCACTTTCTCCTGTCTTCCCTGAAGGTTAACAGTGAAGTCCTACCTATGTGTTACAAGGAAGAAAACTGGGAAGGGGGGAAATAAGGAGAAACAAAGAAAAAGGGAAAAAAGTTAGGGACCTCCCCCTTAACCTTCCCCACTGAATTCCATTGCCAAACTCCTGTTGCTCTCCCTGTTTACTGACTCTGATTGTTTGCTGTGTAGGAGCTTGGCTGCTTGTATCCCACAGTCCCTAGACCAGCTGGGTCAGCTTCCTCTAATCTGCTCAGCTGGGAGTCAGAAACCAATCTATGCTGAGATGTATTGTATTTCTGTTCCAGTTACAGAAATAATGCTCAGATTTGCATCTATATATCTATATCTTCATATGAATGTTTTATGCAAATATGTAAAAATAGTCTTTCAGTACCAAATATTATTCAGCTGGCTTGGTTTGGATTACAGATTGATTTTTAATTTCACTGAAAGACTAGTCAATTTGGAAATAGCAGACCTTGAAGATGGAATACATAATTATTTATGGACTTGAGAATCTATCAAAAAAGCATTGACATCAAACAATAGCCATGTACTTAGAGATGGTTTAATATAAATTTTGTATTCCACAAGAAGAAATTTTGAAAAGTTGATTAAACATCAAGAAGGACATTTAGTCAGATGAATCTACAAAACAAGTGCTCCAATATGACACTGAAACTCAGCAAGTTAAAATATTTTTGATTAGTTAGATGAAAAATCTCGCAGAAGAAATACCACCCTGTCAATTGGAAGCCCTATGGATGAAGGATATAAAATTTACTGCCAGCCAACCATTAAGAGAACATTAGTATAAGATGTATTTTTGGTGGTATATTACCCCAAAAGATATGCAGGAAATGAGTAAGAATTATCATGGAAAATGTTGGAAAAGTAAGGAAATAGATGGGACTTTTTACCATATGTGGTGGACATGTATCTGTTTCCATTTTTTTTAATTATCACATGTGGAAATGCAGACAATTCACAAAATTAATTTTCCTATGAATGCTAAGAAAATGTTACTGAGTATTATACCAGAGATTCTTCCAAAGATTGCACGAGAGCTATTTAAATATTTGATAACAGTGGTAAGAGATACAATAGCATTAAAGTGGAAAGCAGGAGACTGTCCAACTATGGAAGAACTGAAAAATAAGCTAGCTGAATATGCAATAATGACAAAATTATAATTATATAAATAGAAGACCTGCCAAAGAATTTAATGAAAAATTAAAAACTTATTATGAGCAATTTAACTAATATTTAGGAAAACAGAATCTGTAAAAGTATCATTAGAAACATGGATTTCATGCTAAACTTAAGACATTATTTACAACTGATCTGATAAATTAGATTAATCTGTTGTTAGACTTTAAGTGAGAACTGATTGATTTAATTGTGGCTAGAGGAGACAGGAATTTTCGCTTTCTTAGGTTAGATCTTGAAATTACACGCTATATTTCTGTAATATTCTTTGGTAATTTTTCCTTTATATTGTGTGTATGTGTGTGTCCTTTCATTATTTGTATTTTTTTTTCTTTTTAATGGAAATAAAAGCATATATTAAAAAAAGAAAGTTTTTTGTAAATATGTGTCCTCTTTTTGAATGATTAAAAAATGCCCCCCCCCCCCATGTTGGAAGAATTCCTCCAAAGCTTTGTATTCTATCTCACATTATTCTGGTCTTCCTTTCTAATACCTGACCTTGGGGGTAATTAGGAAGAGAGGGAGACTTAGAGAAAGAAACAAAGCAAGAACAAAATTCCCGTGTTTTCAGAGCCAGCATTGTCTGCCAGCTCTTAGAAGGGTCTTTGCTGGATTGGATGAAAATGGGGCTTTGTCCTACACCCTGAAGCAGCCAGATGTACCTGCAACAGAGGGATGGCCTCTGAAAGAAACCCAGAAGACAAAGTATCTGAATAAATAGAACAATCACTGTGTGTGGGCACTTAGTTTCCCCAGCTGGTAAATATATTGCTCCTGAGAATTTCAAGATGCAGTAAGTTTAGCAAACCTCGAGGAGCACACCAGCCGGTTGAGGTTCCTCCCTTCCCACTACCTACAGATAGCTGCTGCATCCTGAATTTTATAAGAGGATCCATCAGGTCTTCACAAAGAACCTCTTTCAGGTTCTGGAGTAGTTCCTTAGATCTTAAGAAAAACAAAGAAAATGTCTGGACACTTTTCCTCACTAACCACAGGTGCAAATGGAATCTTTGCTTCACTAAGGCTTGCAGGTGAAAGATGGTGGGGTCCCTCCGCACTCCTCCATTCTCTCTCCTGCACAGAGCACTGAGGCACCCCTGTTGGTACATCTCAACATGCATTTCACTTCAGAAGTCTTTTGGGTGGGAAAAGACCTTGGCTAAACCAGACCATCCAAATTCTGCTACCTCTTGATTCTGGTGCAAAATGCATCCTTAAGTTTCCAGGATTCTTTTTCTGAATTTGGGGCTGAATAGGGTACAGCAGCAATGTTTGACAATATGGCTAATGGAAACTGACTTCTTGTTAACAAAAGAGTGTTGGAGTTGTCCTTGTAAAAGTTATAGTTTTATATTTTGAAATATAGAAATCTTTGCCTCCCTTCCTTTACCACTGCCCCCAAATATCCAGGGTGTTTTCCATTCAGGTTCCTTCTAGGGGAAAAGGAGACATGTCCCAGGATATGCAAATGAGTCACAAGCCTGCAGGTGGAAGACAGTATATAATTAGTTCAAATCCACAAAATGTATCAGCTTGCTGACTGTCTGGAATGTGGCTCATTCCTCTTGCTAGGGGCTTCAGTGAATGCATACTGTTGCAAATGTAATCTTGCTGGAGACATGTAAATTGCCACCAGCTGCTTCTCCAATTGCTATTCAAATACTGGGCTAGATCACTCATTGTCTTTCTAGAATTTCCTACCACAGACTGTAAAAGCAAACATTGAAACCTGTCAAATTCTGTAACTTCTGATTCTTTTGTATTTTTTCTGTCACTCCAGCTCTTGATGCATTATGATGTTTTCCTGATGTTTCTTGATGTTTCTGTATTTTTCTTGTGTGCTTCTATATTGTTTTTGAGTACCATCCATTCAAAGTTTCCTTCTCCTCCCTGTAATATGCATGTGATGCCAACTGCATGTGATACCAGTTGTGCACCAACTGCATAAAACACTCAGTATATGCTTTGTTTCTTTGTAGTCAGTCTTACACTGGCTACTCCTCAGCACTGTTGCTTTTAGAATACCTGTTTGTTGTTAATAAACTGTTTGACTGTATGCTTCCTTTTGGATCCAGACATTCAATTTTTGCAGGTCTGAAATTCTGACAAGTATAAAATAGCATCCTCAGAAATAGGAATTGTTACAGATTTGGCAATTTGGTCATCTGGTTCTTTTTTTTCTCTGCATTTTTAATCACACAAACACTGCTGCATGTAAAGGTAACTGCAAGGCAATCAATGTGTGTAAAGACCATTCTAAACCTGACTTTATATGCTTTTTGGTGTCAGCTAAAAACCTTTTTATTTACCCAGCATTTTAAAGTTTAAATAATTTTAATCTGGTTTTATTCATATCCTCAGTTGCATTTTATATCATTATTATAGTTATAGATTGTTTATGTTTATTGTTTGTTTATATTATACTGTAAGCCATCCTGAGACAATTGGTTGG